TTGTGGTCTAACTTGCCTCTGGTGAGGCAGGTCAGTGTGGCAGTGTGGTTCTGCAATTCTGGGCTCTTGATCATCCAGACTAGTGAATGTGCTAGACCACAGCAAGCCTGGGTTGCCTGCATTCTGTTTCCATAGAAGCCATTTTATAGGAGGGAATAATTACCACTGCATTTCTTGCAGTTTGGAGTCAGGATGCGACTGTGCCATACATATTTATCCAAGAGCTGTGAAATACCCTTGTCATACTGTTTGGACACAGCCAGCATGATTCACTGGCAGGGACAAAACTTGAGCCTCCCAAGCTTTCTTGCTTATGGCAGCATGTTTCTAAAGTAGCAAGTGTAACTGCCTACTGACAGGGAGAAGTCATGGAAATCGCTGATGTATCTCGGAACTGAGCTCAGGTCAGTTTTTCTGGAGATTTTACTGGAGCTGTTTCAAAGCGTCCAACACGGTCTGACATGCTTTGCTTCCCTGAGCACAGGACAGATGACTAACCATGAGTTTCAGCTTGTGTAGAGTATGAAAAGTGAAATGGCCAATCTCCCTCTTTGTGGCAAGGGTTGGTTTTGCCAAGTTTAATTTTGCATGTTCAAGGGGGTCAGTAGCTGGATTTGGAGACAACCAAAACAGCTACTTAACAGTTGGTTTACTTGTAAATGCCAAACCAGAAACAGTTGCGTAAAGTCCTTTTGTAAGGAGTTGTTTTAAATTTGGTTCGATGGTTTTTTGTTAGACTTGTCAGTAAGTAATATTGAACAGTATTTGCCTCAAAGTTCAGGGAACTTTGCAGTGAAGAATTCTAGACCTCTGCATTGAAGGGAATCCACTTGAGGGGTATGAAGAGCAGAGGAGGTATTTGCAGAAGTTGTGGAGATCAGAATCTGATGCAGAAAATACTTGAGCAAAGGTAGTATCTGAAGTTTCCCTACTCTGTTCTGCCCAAGGACTTCAGTCTTAGTCTGAAGATGATGTTTTTCTTGTTCCCAGCTGTCTGCCCCTACTAAGGCTTCCAAAAGGTGGTATTAAATATACCATATAAATAAAAACCAGCCTGCAAACACATGTATTACAAATACATCTTAATGTTTTATTGTGTCTGGGGTGTAGGGTAGGCTATGTAATGGTTCTGACTAGTGAAATCCTTTTGGGTGAACTGTTGTCTAAATGTTGATTACAATTTTCATAGGATAGATGTGTTTTGCTTGTCTGACTAATCTTCTGTTTAATACAGTTATGTTTGTTTGACTAAAATAAGAATTATAAAGGTTTCACTTGTAAATGACTGGATTTTTTTTTTTTGTGGGGCACCTCACTAAGGAAGTTGTCAACACTTCATAAATAGTATTTGTCATCTACCCTCACGGTTTTATCTTGGGAAACTAAAGTGCAACAAAGTCTTGTAAAATGAAAATGTTATTTTTTAATTTGCAAACATAAAAAGGAAAAATGAGCTTGAAATTGACATGTAAAATATCTTCAATTCTTTATGCAAATCTGTATTTTCAGTGGTTGTGATACTGCAGTGTTTTTGGGTTTTTTTGCAGTATCATGTCCTCATATCTATAGGTCAAACAAGTTATTTTTTTCTTCAAGGAAGAAGCTACTGATGACTATTCCTGTCTGTGATTCAATGTTTTAAGTATTTACAGTTGGAGAGAAATTATTTGAACAGAGCTGAAGCTGGGAATAAGTCAAGGCTGGAAAACAGAGGTCCTGTGGAGACTGGGAGGAGAGAATTTATTTTTCTTCCAGTTCCAGTGAAATCAGTCTGATTTTCTGTCAAGTTCCAGGCAGAAATACTGTTAGTGTTCCAGTCATAGGGCCCCATTTTTCAGTTTGAAGATTGGTAGTACTTCTGGTACAGTAACTGAATTCTTGGTTAAATAATCTTTGCAAGATGAAAGGAAAAATGTGGCTTATTATTACTGATTTAACCTATCCTGTACACTAGTCTTTCTTACAGATTTTTGCACTGTATATGTTAAAAGATAAATTCTTTTGTTGTTCAGGAGCAGAGTGAATAAAGGAAAACCAGGACTTCTCATTGCCTGTCCTCTTGCCCTGCTCTTACCTCAGGGTGGTCGTAGCAGTGAGGGGGGTTAGAGAGGCTGAGTGTTGCTCCAGTGGGAATGATTTCAAGATCAGGATTAACAAACCCACCAGATGGATTACATGAGCATCTTCGTTTGTTCTTTATTTTGTTTGTGAAATCAGGCTTCTGTGCATGCCCTACTGCAATCCTCAGCCTCTTTGGACAGGGTTGCTGGATTAGCCTGTGAGCAGAGGGACCAGACAGCTGCTCTGTCCACCACTGCACCAGCCTGTGAACCTTCCTGCTTAGCAGGACTTACCTCTTCAGCCTGGTTCATAGTCCATAATGAACATCCCATGGTTTGGGAGAAACTTTATTGAAATAAGTGGTAGGAAATTATTTCTCAGAGTCTGTCTTTTAATACTCCCAATTTCTGTTTGTTCAGATTTACCAAGACTCCAGTGTTACTGTTTTCATTGGATGGCTTCAGAGCAGAATATTTGCAGACTTGGGGTGGACTTCTACCCGTTATTAGCAAATTACGTGAGTAGTTTCTTTGTCTAAGCAATATCGTGATGTCTTACCTGAAAAATCCATAGATGCAGCTATGCTTTCTCCTTAAAGTCCTCACTCCTCTTCCATGGAAATGGAAGTTGTTGCCCTGAGTAACAGCTATGCACAGATAACTTGATGTCTTGAGGGAGGCCATGAGGAAGGGGTGCTTTAGATTTTTAGTGAAATCTTGATAATTAAGTAGCCCTTCCTATATTTAGGAGGTGGAGTCTTTTAGCTTTTATTTTTTAATTCACAATGGAAGCAGACCCACTTCTTACTCTATATCATCTCCTATTTAGGTGAAATGACTTTGAAAAATGGAAAACAAGGTAAAGAGCATTTCATTATATTTGAAAAAGAAGATGGAGGAGAGATTAGGAACAGATGATATAGAAGCGCTGGTAGAAATGTTCTGAATCTGAGAACCTTCATTTAACAAACATTTTCACAAGTACTGTGTATGTACTTATAAGTACATATTTTTTCTGTAGGTTTTGTAGTGCCTTAACTTTGTAGTGTCTAAGTAACTTTAGTTACTTTTCCTGTCTCTGTTTTGGCTGTGGTCTGTAAAGAACTGATGGCATTTCTTGTCTGAAAAATATGCCAATCATCTTGTCATTCATAAATTACTACCTGGGTAGGCTGGTTTCAGTTTGACTAAAAATAAATCAGTCAAAATACTGGCTTTTTTGTACAGTGGTTGTTACAGCTTGATCTGTTCCAGAGGATAACAATTCACAGATGTATCTGAGGTTTTAGCTTTTTTTTTTGTTTTGTTCCAAGTTGGAATAAAATGAGATGTTTGAAACCATTTTATTAGATGCAGTCATAGGAAATTTCAGCTGAAGAAGACTTCATGGGTATTGAGAGCAGAAGACTGGCTATTACAAATGGTTACAGCTCTGAACGAGATACAAGATACCAGTGCCACGAAGCATCTGTAGGACTTCTAGGTTGTGACATCCATTTCCACTTGCAAAGGATCCTCACTCTTTGGTCTGGATAGGCTACAATGCAACTTCTTTCATTGACTTCTATAATAAACTTGTATATCTGTTTCCAGTGAACCCATGATAAATATTGACCACTAAGAAATACAATTATCTCTGTCAAAGTCACTTCACATCTCCATAACCATGGAGTTTTTGATAATCAAAGCTTTCTTTCTTTTTTTTAGGATTCTAAAACTGGAATGTCTAATACATGTTTTAGAGACAATAAAATAAGGAACAGTCTGGGGAAGAATATTATTTCCACAGTTCTGTGTTACTCTGGAACATTTCTGTAATCTGATAGACCTTTATGATACAATATACTACAAGATCTTCTGCTTCTTAAGAAATCTTGCTTTCTAGTCTTTTTTTTCTCATAGTAAAATGGAAGGTGAAATGCTTAGATAAAGTACACTTTCTTCAGTAAAAGAAGAACAGTCTTATGAATGAAAATTGGTGTCGATGAGGTGTATATCACATGACACTCTGAGGGCCTGTGCCTTCAAAACTCCATGTGCTTCATGTCCCCTGTAGGCACTGCAAATGGTGGAAGCAGTCATATTGTAAAGATAATTTCTGGATGTATAGATGCTGTGATAGTATTTTGCTCTGCAGGAAAGGGTAATGAAATCTATTCCTCTGTGTTAGACAAGTAACAAATAAATAAATTGCTTGACTTGCTGAAAAATGTATTGAATCCTTTTGAAGGTCATAGTTACCCATTTACAGGACTAGTAAAAAAAGACACAATTTATGATTGATAGCATTTAAAGCAGTGAACAAGTTATTCACATTAAGACTTGCCTGACAGCCTGCTGCTTTATTAAATTAGAACTGTGCTAAATCCATGTATTTTCCTCTTTAAAGAACTTGGTAAGTGCAGCATCCTGTTAGGTAATAGCTCTGAATAACAGGAATATCTTTAATTCAGCCATACCTACAATGAACTACCAATGTCTCCTTGGAATTTGTTAGAGCAGATGCCTCTAAGACAATATCAGATTTGATAAGTTTTATTACATACACTCGGCTACCTGCTGAGAGGTGGACAATTCAGCATGGAGCTGAGGGCTCTCAGTGAAGCCAGTCATAGACATAATGTGTGCGTGACTTTCAGAGAAGACATTGTCAAATAATTCCATGCTGTAATACCATAACTTTTAAATAAATCCTTCTTTAATCTTCAGTTATATTTAACTAACTAAGGCAGTAAGACAAAAAAAGATGGATAACTCTTATGGAAAGTCCCAGCAAAACCCCCTAGGATTTTGGACAAAACAAGGTTTAAGTGTATTTTTTTTCTCTATTTTAAAAACAAAACAACAGAAACCGAACTGCCCTCTCTACTACCCCCACAAAAAAAAAAAAACGTACTGAGAAAACAGCCTCAACAACAGATTTAGAGATGGTTGAAATGCATCAAGTGTGGTGCAATAGCAAGAAAAATACAAGTAATGACTTGTTAATGCAGAATTCAAACCAGGGAGGGGATGCTTATGTAGCTTGAAACGATTTATCTTTCTGGCTCAATTAGCTGATATTGATTATTTCAGCTGAGATCTAATCCAAAGCCCCAATCCAATGAGTTAAAAGTGACTTGATGCGACACTTTTTATGTTACCAAACGTTACCACATTTCTATTTTACATATATTGTATATAATAACCCAGAGGGACAGTGAAGATGGCCCAGTGGTGGCCTTTCTATAGGGTCTTCTGGCACTTTAGCATTAGTTGAAGTGGTTGGTCATCACATAGTATTTTCAAGTTGTTAACAAAGACTTTTTTTCTTTTTTTTTTTTTTTCTTTCTGAAAATCAAGGCACATACATTTGCCTGTGGAAATTTGGGCACCCAACTTAAGTAAGGTTTGCTTAAGTGCTTTGGCCTGCAATGACTTTTCGTACTAGCAAATACTGTGCACCAATCTCCTTGAAAACCTATGATTTTTTTGTATAAAGATAAGGAAAACTTTAAGATTTGTTCTAAAAGAAGAGTTTAGTTTTAAAAAAGAAAGCAATGACAAAACCCACAAACAAAAAAGAGACTGAAAGATAAATAGTGATTTGCCAGGTGACTGTGTGTGCCAGTGACAACTTCATCTTTGGGAGCACCCAGGGTGAAGTGTAGCTAGTTGGTCTCAAGCTGCAGACTTCACTTACCCCACACCAGGGCAACACTGGAGAGCATGATTTCTTTGTTTATTCATTCTAATCTATGCATGCTTTTCATGAGGCCTGTAGATTTTGCTCATGTATGGAAGTCAGTCATTAGGAATATATAAAACTTGTATTAATAGCCATTTAGTCAGCTTGTAAATGAACTATTAACTCCAGAATTTTGAAGAACTAAAACTTTCTGGAAATATATTTTGGTTTTCTCTTTCTTTCTTTTTTTTTTTTTTTACATAGGTGTGTCTTCATGAGTGAAACTTGCAAGGGCTTTTATTTCTGTAATTTTGCTGATTATCTTTCTTCTTCCCTCTAGAGAAATGTGGAACATACACTTCCAGTATGAGACCAGTATATCCTTCAAAAACCTTTCCCAATCATTACTCCATCGTCACAGTAAGAATTGCTGTTTGTTTATATGTTTCTACTACTAAGACACTGTTTATTATAAAATTGTCTCAAAGGGAATAGTATATTTCTTTGAATTATCAAATTAATAGTCTTTTCCATCAGAATATAAAAATATATATAATACTACTGAATTTAGATTAAGTCATTATATAACACTTTAGCTAAGTGGTCAGATCTAATCTGATAATTCAATCCTTTGAAGACTAGAATTACCATATAAGTGGAAGATCACATCACTTCACAACTCCTCATTTGTGTAAATATTTTCACTAAATTGCAACTCTCTCTCTCTCTATTGGAGTTGAAAGCAGCCTGACTAATGGCCGGTATTGTTCCACTTCTTTAAGGTAGCTTGGCATGACACAAAAAGAGGTTTAAATGAAAGGAAGGACTTGAACATCACATTGATGTAGACTCTGTGGTGGACTGTACCCAAACCTGGATTGGAAAGTCACAAAACTGATCTTCTAAATTTATCACCTCCTGCATATAGGAGGGGAAAAAAAATACATGGAAGTTTTTCAGTGCTGAATATGAGGCTGGAATCCAGCAGATCCTTCTTAGTTTCATAATGTCAGAACTAAAATTCAATCAAATACTTCAGAATCTGCACCTTCTTTCTTATCTTCCCAGTTTGTCAGGACTGTCTTTTGATAGGTGAGGAGCACAGGTTCAGGAATTACATGTTTCATTGTGTAGTAGTCTCAAATATCCACGACTGAATATGCAGCTAAGAAGCATTAATCATGCCCTGCAGCTGTGTGTGTCCCTAAATACAGTGCAGAGCTTTGTCTCAGCTCCCCATTCTTATGGAAAGTAGCAGGCCCTGGTGTTTATCAGGGTCCTAATGGTGGTGGTGCTATATCGTTTAGTGTAAAAAGAAACCACAAGGTTCTTTATAACATTGTGACAAGATATAATCTCAATTACAGGGGCTGTATCCTGAATCTCATGGTATAATTGATAACAAGATGTATGACCCCAAAAGGAATGCATCCTTTACCCTTAGAAACGAAGAGAAGTTTAATCCACTGTGGTACCAGGGACAGCCTGTAAGTATTAATACACTGCTGGGAATGTACATCAGCCCGTTGTTATGTTACTTAGTATCACTTGGATGCATAGTGATGTTGAAATAGTACAGAGGGTACTTTTAAGTCAGCCAAGAAGCATTACTCAGCATGATTAGGAATTGCCATACTAGAGCTGCAAAATGACAGATGCATTAGCGCAATGGATTTTCTTGACTTACATGGAATTTTCTCCAAGGAGAATACTATCTTAAAATAACTAATAGAGATACCAGATTTTGTTCTGTTTTTAATAGGAAGTAGGCTTGCAGTTGACCTCTCTGAGGAAATAGACAGACCAGTTAGTTTTAGTAATAATCAGTATTAAAGCTTTACACTCTGCCCAAATAACTAAGTTTAAAGATGCGGTTTTAAAAGAAAACGTCCCGCTTGAATCATATGGCTATGACAAATCTGCTGAGAGTGCCACCAAAATGAAGGGGCATAGGAAAGTTTGGGTGAACAGATGCAACTACTTAGTAATGTGGGGAGGACCGATTATTTTTTTCTTTGTAGATTTTGTATGTTTGTAGACTCTTCAGGCCACTGAGAAGAATGTGGTATACAAGTTAGTCAGGAAAACACGCGGAAAGCAGACAGAAACCTGCAAATCAGAAGATCAGCAGTAAAATCAGAAGAGTTGATGCAACTCTTTCTCCCATATTTCGGAGTATGTGGGGCATAGGTCCTTGGAACATTCCCACCCCTTCTTGCTTCAGTGTTCCTGGTGTTCAGTCATGGTTCCACCCTTGCGGTACTGCTTCATGGGAGCCTGCTTCTGTCCTGGCTCTCCCTGGTGTTGTAGCTGCAGGGATCCCAGTATCTGCAGTAATGAATCAGGCTGCAAGGTGTATCTGGACTGCAGACAGCGAGTGTTTGGAGTTCTCTGCTTACGTTTTTACGTTTTGATCTTGCTTAACAGTGCAGAGCTGGTAGGGGTGGTAGTGGATCTGGCAGTTACTCAGCTAATCCAGTGACCTGCACTAATGATGGTGACTGTTCTTCTGCAGATTTGGCTAACAGCTATGTACCAAGGTCTAAAAGCGGCTGCGTTCTTTTGGCCTGGATCAGATGTAGCAGTTAATGGAACCTTTCCAAACCTGTATGTAAAATACAATAGGTATGTCAACTTCTGTGATTTGAATGAGTATTTTGCTTCAACCATTGCAATGCAACAGATACCAGAAAAAGCATTTTTCTGCTTTTCTCAATAGTTGTGCACAACAGGAAAAAAAAGATAGGATCCAATTAACTTTGTTTCAGTGTGAAGTAGATTCTTTGTCTAATTATTTTCTTATTCCTCAGAAAATCTTTTACAGGAAAGAAGTGGGAAAAATCAGCTTTAAGAGCAGTCAGCTTTGAAGCCTTAGTGTTTTTTTGCTTTGACTTATAAAAATGTTTTGTGGGTGTGTTTAGAGTCATTCAATCTAAACTTCTCATACAGTGAATAGGTCAGGTCTTGACATGATATTGTCCATGAAAACTGAAGTTTTACTGTTTACTGTGGTAAACTGTTCCAGTATAAAATTATTTGCATTGCAAATTTTGTAAATATTTTACATTAAGGCAGTCATATTTTAATCAATGATTGCTCTTCATTGCAATTAAACATTTTCTGCCTAACAGTAATTCTACATAAACCTGTTTAGCACCATTTATTTAATCTCAAATCTCACCCAAGAAGTCAGGCTTTGCATTTCTATCTTCCTAGGATCATTTTCTTTTCATATACCCTTCATATAACATGGAAATTCTGATTCTTGACATGCCACCTACATTTTTTTCCTAGAAACTTGTACATTGTTACTTAAACTTGTGTTAAGTAGCTGAATTACTAACTTTGTGGGTGCCTCATGTTGTTACAGGTCAACATGCTTATTGTTGGTCTACTTCAGTAATTGATATCAAGCATCTACTTTGTCACATAGTATTAGAACTTGTATTTAAACTGTTTAAACATGTAAACGTCCCCAAACATCCCCAAACCAAAGCTTTTTCAAAACATAATCCAGAAATGAAAACCTGCACATGATTTTGCACCTTGAAGCCCATTATTCTCTTTGTATAATAAACAGAAGCAATACTGGGTGCTTTATTCTAATCAAGTTGCAGTCAATGTGGACAGTATTCAAGGGAGCTTTAGTTCATGCCATTAAATCCTATAGAGTCACAGGTAATTATCATATATAAACTTGCATCCTGCTAAACAGCCATTAATGGCATCCATTTGAATTCAATTTTGTCTGCTAAAGTACATTGATTTTGTAATGTGTCACTGAATTTTTTAGCTTTTTCCTCTTGGAAATACATGGTTGGTTGATCTTGTATTGTTCTGATGCAGCTCAATCCCCTTTGAAGAAAGGGTGGTAACTGTTCTTCGCTGGCTGCAGTTACCTGAAGATGAAAGGTAGGTGTGTAATTGCAAGTGTAAGCTCCTGTTTGAATGGTGTTGCAATGAATTACTTTGTAAATATTATTTCTGTTTTAAATTATCTTATGCATTATTCTAGCAATGTTGAAATACTATTTTATACAACCCTGTTTCTATGACTGGAAGAGTTTTTAACATTTCTATAGTTCCCTTTAATGTGTCCTTCCTCTGAATGACATTGTTTCTAATATTTGATATCCATTGTTGAAATATAAATAATCTCTTCAAACTGTCTCAACGTATATGTAAAATATTACATTTTTGGTACTGTTTGATATAGACCACACTTTTACACTCTGTATTTAGAAGAACCAGATTCCTCAGGCCATAAGTTTGGACCAGTAAGCAGTGGAGTAAGTATTTTTATAGTTTCTTAATTTTCCCTTTTTTTTTTCCTTTAATTTGAAGTTTTGTTCTGACTTTATAATAAACTTCCGTAATTCATGTTAGATTAACCAAGTTCAGTATGCTTATTAGGAAAAAAAATATTAATAGATAGTCCATCCATAATTAACATTGATACAACACATGTAATAAACAGGCTAGTTAGTAAGTCTGATTCTTATTTTCTTTATTTCAGTAACTTTTAATTTGCCAAAGCATGTTTGGGTGTGTCTTGTATGTTGTTCTATTGGCTCCTTCTAATTCTTTAGGTTGATTTTGGTGGTGGTGGTGGGAGGGGGAAGGTGAGTTGGGTCAGAAAGTTTATGTACTTTGAATTTAGCAAGAATGGGTATTTTTATACCAATGGTCCAAGTTTTGGTGGTTAAGTATTCATGTGATAATTGTCGTGCATTTTGCCCTGGAGTCTGCGCAAAGGTTAGATGGATATTTTTCTTATTTCCCTTCAGTTAGATTTTTGCCTTTTTGGAAAGGGAGTGGTAGAAGGGACATTCACTCCATCACAGTCTGTGATGCAGCTATTGTATGAATAAGTCTTTGGGCCTGCTGCTGTTTTCAAAAATACTGAATAGCTTTAAATTTTAACTAATGAAAGTGAAAAATGCAAAGAAAAAGGCTCTTGGAAATTCAGGAACACTGTAAAATTCTCCCATCTTGAATGGTCATGGAGTTCGGGTGTCTTAACTAGGTATGTAACCTGAGTGGTAACAACAGTAAATAGTTCTTGCTAATTTCTCTTGAATTGTGACCAGTTACTGTTCCTGTGCCCAGTGAAGTAGCAGACAACTAATTGGAACTGAAGTGTAAGGAATGCGTTTAGATTGGTTATGTTTTCCTTTGGTTAATAAGAGGATCTGAAGTTCTGTATATCAGGAATGCTCTGGAGAGTGAGAAACTCTGAGGGTTTGTACATAGTCTTCCCAGGAGCACCTCATCTTTGTTTATGCAAAGCAAGACCGTTTAGACAAGTAGCTCAATGAGGTAACAGAGTCACTCAATTTAAAAGTACTTTGTTTTGTTTTGTTTTGTTTACTTAACAAGTATTCAGAAGTAGCCACAGTGGCTGTACCTACGCAAGTGAACTTGAATGCCAGACCTCTGATCACAAACAGTGCTAGACTGGTGGCTTGTTTTTTGTCTTTTGCAGTCCATTTAAACTAGTTTGCTCCAATATCCAGTCACAATTTCAAGGACGTGTTGCTCCAGTGTCTTTCTCAATAGGGGTTTTGAAGAAAAGTGCCACAGGCTTGGCTTCCTCTATTCTCTTCAGCCCTCTGGTATTCTTCCATCACCATCTGCACCCTCAGGCATTCCCTGTTATTCTTGGTTGTACCCTGGCAATGCAACAAACTTCCTCAATTTCATAATTTAAAACTACTATCTGTAATCTGGGGTTTGAGTTTTTTTGGTTTGTTTTTAAAAAGTCTTCAACTGCAATAACACATTAAAATGTGTAGCTATGTCTTAGTTGTGTTATGGGGCCCAGAAAAAAAAATGGGACCAAGAGCTGTATAGTGTAGATATAGTCAGTGCTCTGTAGATGGAGGTAGCCCTGAGCAATGCAGGTGCTAGGCAGTTTGCAGGCTCACATTTTTATTTTATAGGTACCTGTTGAGCCCATTCTCAGTAGATGTAAAGGCTGTGCATCCAAAAGATGTTAAACTGAGAGAAGCAGGAACAGACAAAAGGCAGGTTTAACAGGGTACTAAGAATGCTGTAAGTTTCCTGTCCTCATAGTTCTTCCTGTTAGTGTGCACTATATGTGCTCCCTGTCATGAGTTTGGGGGTCACTGCATAGTCTTAGGTCCCCTGTGTTCTTCGTTTGGACCGCATCTAGCGTTGAATGGTCTGTAAGAGCTACTTATTTTTCATTAGCGTATACTACTACAGTTTAAACTTGTTCACTCTCCCTAGAAATAAATTCTGTTTTTTAATTGAAGTGATTAACACTTGCTTTACATTCCTATTTTTGTCCTGCAGGTTATTATGGCATTGCAAAGAGTGGACAACATAGTAGGCATGCTGATGGATGGTCTCAAGCAAATGAACTTGCATAAATGCCTGAACATTATTTTTATATCAGATCATGGTAAATTTGATTTTATAAAATAGATCAGAATTTTGAAGAGCTGTTTTTATAAAGTAATATTATGGGTTTATACTTGAATACTTCTGGCAAGGTTAACAAAGCTGCTAATACCTAGAAATTATGTTTTATATTATCAAGATGGTGTAAGAGATAATCACTGTAGATGAGAACTAGACTATGGGGGTAAGTGGGGAGCACAGGGAGAGTTTAAATAGTTTTCATGCTTTATTCCTAATTCCTCTTGTGGTGATTATCAGCCAAGAAATGAAACAATGAAAAATGTGAATTGTGAAAAATGGATTTTCTTTTATTCTGTCCTTTAACTACACTACACAGCAGTAGTTTGCGAATTGCTGAAGTGAAAATGCAAGCCATATCTTCCTTTCAGCTATCAGTTCCCTTATCCATTATTAGAAGGCTGTGAATATGAAAATTAGATATTTTTTTCCTGTAATACCTTTTCTATAGTTCTAGAATTATTTCTATAGTAAGTTAGGTATTTTACCAATACATTTCTTTCTCGTCGTCTTTCTCGTCGTCTTTCTCGTCGTCTTTCTCGTCGTCTTTCTCGTCGTCTTTCTCGTCGTCTTTCTCGTCGTCTTTCTCGTCGTCTTTCTCGTCGTCTTTCTTGTCTTTCTCTTCTATTTCTTTTCATGACCAACATAGTAGAGGCATAGTTCCATGCGGCACAACATTGACTTGCAGAACTCATTGCCACTGCGAATGATCCAAGACAAATTATATATAAAAGGGTTAAAAAATTATTATTAATTAATGGAGGGTAAACCTGTCAAGAACTATTAAAAGTGAGAGTTCAAATGCAATAGGTAACTCTAAGTCCCCTTTACTTCTGGATATTGATAAGGAACAGTGGGAGGAAGATCAGTCTATAATTGCTGTGCTTATTGGGTATTTCTCTAGACATGTTACCGAATACTATTAGGTAGGATATTGAACTAATTGAGTATTTGGTCTGACCATTACTACTGTTGTTAGGGTAATAAGATTTCTTTCCCTTCAGAAGAAAATTTGTCTGTTTATTCAACTGGAGTGTCTTTCTCAGCTGAGGAAATGGCTGATTGTGTGTATCGGTGTCATGTTTTGTTTTCGTCCATGCATCAGTATTGTGGTCTCCTTGGATCAAATGTCTTTGGGTTGCTGATAAAAAAACCTGAGAAATTACAATTCTGAGTTCTGTGACTTAAGTTGCATGTCTTATCAGGCTACTCTACACTGATATTCCCATTTTTAAATAAAATTTATTTCCTTTTGCAGGGATGGAAGCAGGGAGCTGCAGAAAAACAGCGTATCTGAACAGCTATATGGACGATGTTCAAGATTTCATAATAGTACCTGGTCCTGCAGCTCGCCTAAGACCTAATAATGTTCCAGATGAGTATTTCTCTTGTATGTAATTGCTAAACTAATTTTTGTTACTTTGTTATATGCTTTTGTACTTTATGAATACAAACTTAGGATCCACATCTTCCATTTGTAAACCCGGGTGAAGGTCAACTAGGGTCAACCTGGATAATGATAAAGAAATTCTGAATAGTGCACCTGTGTTTTTAAGGACCACTGTTAAGACCTTTGCAGGTCTGAAAGTGTATTTAAATCCTACAAACTGCTTTTGTGGGCTGCCTCAGAGTGACCAAATGCAAATGCTCTTTTCTCACCTCATCTTCTGATTTACCAGTTTGTATATAAATTTGCTTTTATATTTCTTTTTATAAGAAAGAAAATTCTTTCTTAAAGGAATGTTAGATTGCTGCTATCTTTTACATACTTTTTTGAGTAACATAATGTATTTCCTGCCTATTAAAAAGTGGCCTAATGGCCTGACAGCAGTTGAGTAAACTGCAAATAAACACAAATAAGATAATAAACACAAGTAAAAATGAATGCTTACAAATTTTAAACTGTGATTCATTATATAGTCTTATTTAGGTGCCTCCTCTTTTTGGTACTTTTTAATGTTGAATGCAGGAATTTATTTCATGTTTCATAGTGTGTTTTTCTATCTAGATTATTGTTCTTTATGGCCTTTGAAACTTGCAGGCCTCAACCTGAGTGACTTTAGGTCTTGTTTACTTCATTGCTTGATGCTATTCTAAACTCTTTTAAATGTTTCCTTGGAAAAAGTGGGAGTCAAATGTGGTTTTCCCTGGAGAAAAATTTCAGGTAGAAAAGCAGAGTATCTCCTGCTTTTGACATGTGTACTGTTTTCATGAAGAAGCATACTGTACCTATAGCACTGCATATATCTGTGCAGGAATTGTTTCCCTTGCCTGTGTAATTCTTTATGTACCTTAGTCAAGCACTGGATATCAGCCTCAGGACAGAGAAACTGTGTGAAATGTAATGGGCCTATGTTGTGCTAAATGTCAAACTAAATGATGTAATGCTCCCTTTTGGCTCAAGTCTAAGCATCTGAATCTTGGCCAATTTGCATTTGGCTGTCTTTCCAATGGTACTTGCCAGACAAAACTGCTGGCCTGATAGTTGCATTTGTTTCTTTTTCCTTAGAAGTTTATTAGCAAGCAGGAAAAATCCAGCACTGCATTTAGTTGACTCTTCTGTGAAAACTTATTTCTCAGATTAAGTTTCCAACTGTGGCTAATATAGATTAAAGCTGCAAATAAATAAACAAGGGGAAGAGAAACTGAACTAGAAATTCATAATAGCAATAGCTTGATAGTTCAATGATTGTTTTACTACATGTAGTTTTCATTCTGGAAAAAGAATTTCTTATGTCCAGAAATTTTTTGAAACTAAGCTAATTATATTACGTGATGGGAATACTTGCATTTTATATCTGATTTCTTTTTAACTTAGGTGACTAATTCTTACATGTGATTCTTCCAGTTAATTATGAAGACATTGTCAGAAACCTCACAGTAAGTGTTCTCTTATCTGTTGTTCTAGCATGATTTCTACTGACATTTACAGATCTTTTATAGCATCAGCTGTTTGTTGGGCTACTTGCATAGCACCTGGACTTTGAATCAGTGATCTTCCACATGTATACAATTAACAACAGCAGTAGTCAAATGCAGGGGAATGGAAGGTTAAAGGTGTCATATGGCTATCAGTGTTTGTGCATTAACTAAGGATTTATGTTCATTTCTTTTCACTAACACTGTATCATGTTACTCTTCAAACTGATAACTTGTGTGTATCTGGACCATGCTGGCTGACGGCCAAGTCAGTGTAAAGCTCAGCTCCATTTCCTAGACAAGCATAAGATTTTCTGGATCGCACCTTCTTGATAAGCAGTTTTGAGAGAAGATACTGATTTTTTGTTTTGTTTTGGTTTGGTTTTTTTTGTCAGTTTGGCTTAAGAAACTTGCTTTTCTGGTCTATACCTGGCTTCTGTTCTCATCCCTGCACCACAATGTTTGCCTCTGTTGTGCAGATGCTGCTGGTGGTGACAGCTATGCTGCTTGTATAGATGACTTCACTAGTGAAAAATTCTGACATTATAGTAGGGTGGGGGTTTTTTGTGGGTTTTTTTTGTGGGTTTTTTTGTGTCTTTTTTTGG